TTCCACTCCATTTTTGGCAGTGGTATGACCACAACCTGCTCCTCCTCCCATTCTTTAATTGGGAGGTGGGAAAATAAAAATATTCTTTGCATGCTTGCCAGATAAAAAAGTATTTTATTCAACAACATGAAAAAAAGCATGTTTAGGAGCTCGACTCAAAAATACTTACTACTTTTTCAAGTAGTTCAGAAGAGTGATATTTTTCAAAACTGGATATCCTTTGATTCAGGAAGTTTTACATACAGAATCACAAAATCATAGATCACAGACCGTTCGGGGTTGGAAGGGACCTCAAGGAACATGAATCTCCAACCCCCCTGCCACATGCAGGGCCAGCAACCTCCCCATTTAATGCTAGACCAGGCTGCCCAGGGCCCCATCCAAGCTGGCTTTGAACACCTCCAGGGATGGGGCATCCACAAGCTCTCTGGGCAGCCTGTTCCAGCACCTCACCACTCTCTCTGCAAAGAATTTACACATGTAAAGAATAGAGTGGGCTGTTTGTTTTGCTCTTGGTGTTATGTGACCCTTCTCTTGTTACTTCCAGATGGAAAAATAGAGATCTATACTAATCAGAGTTAGCAAAGAAAGGGGAGAAAGAAGTGAAAAAAAGGGAAAGGCAATTACTGTTTTGCAATGAAGTTGAACACTAAATATTCTTGTGGTAGTTTCGTTTATCATAAGTGTTGTCAATCATTACATTAAAAAAAAAAAAAGCTTTTTTTTTTTTTTTTTTTTTTTTTTTTTTTTGCACTGGCATCTCTTCATCCCCTAAAATCTTAATGAACAAAACAAAGATTATAGTTGTAAGTGTTCATTTCATTTTCACAACTTGAAAGGGAAAATGCAGAAAGCCCTTCTGATTTCACAAGCTGGAGAATAGTAAATAAAGCACAAATACCTGTAAATCTCTGTAGATGTTTCTTTGGCTTGTTCTGTGTTGTGCTGTGAAGTAGAGTTGCTTGTTTGGACTGCTGAGAACTTGATTACAAATGATTTTGCTGTTCCCTAAATATTTCAGTAGCAGTTCAAGTAGTTTATCACTGTCACTCAAGTAATAATCTAGTTCACTTTTTCGATGCCTTCATCAATTTCTGTTGATGACAAGACACACACACACACAAAACTCCTTTAAAATGTCCGTTTTCCTATCAAGAAATCTAACTATCACAGAATCACAGAATCACCTGGGTTGGAAGGGACCTCAAGGATCGTGTAGTTCCAACCCCCCTGCCTAGCAGGGCGACCAAACATACACATTCAGATCAGGTTGCCCAGGACCCCGTCCAACCTGGCCTTGAACACGTCCAAGGACGGGGCATCCACAACCTCCCTGGGCAGCCCGTTCCAGGGCCTAACTACTCTCCTTGTGAAGAACTTCCCCCTAACATCCAACCTAAATCTTTCCTCCTTCAACTTGGATCCATTTCCCCTAGTCCTGCTGTTGTCAGCCCTTCTGAAGAGTTTACTCCCCTCCTGGGTGTAGGTTCCCTTCAGGTATTGATAGGCTGCAATGAGGTCGCCCCGCAGCCTTCTCTTCTCCAGGCTGAACAAGCCCAACTCCCTCAGCCTGTCCTCATAGGGGAGGTGCTCCAGCCCCCTGATCATCTTAGTCGCCCTCCTCTGGACCCTTTCCAAGATCTCTATGTCTTTCTTGTACTGAGGGCTCCACACCTGGACACAGTACTCCAGGTGGGGCCTCACAAGAGCCGAGTAGAGAGGGACAATCACCTCCCTGTCCCTGCTGACCACCCCTCTCCTGATGGAGCCCAGGATCCCATTTGCCTTTCGAGCTGCCAGAGCGCACTGCTGGCTCATGTTAAGTCTCTCGTCCATCAGGACCCCGAGGTCCTTCTCTGCCGAGCTGCTCTCAAGGACCACTCCTCCCAGCCTGTACGGGTGCCTGGGGTTCTTCCGGCCCAAATGCAAAACCTTGCACTTTGCCGTGTTGAACCTCATTAGGTTCACCCGAGCCCAGCCCTCAAGCCTGTCGAGGTCCCTCTGAATGGCATCCCTTCCTTCCACCGTATCAACCGCACCACTCAGCTTGGTGTCGTCAGCAAACTTGCTGAGGGTGCACTCAATTCCTTCATCGATGTCATTAATAAAGATGTTAAAGAGCACCGGTCCCAAGACAGACCCTTGGGGGACACCACTTGTTACCGGCCTCCACCTGGACATAGGTGGACATAACTAGTTTAGAGACTCTCAAATATGAAGACATTTTTCACTTCATCACTGGCTTACATGGCGTGCAGTTTTAATTTTCTATATATCCATTTATATTGTGTATATCTGTGTAACCATCTGCAATTAATATACTGTTTTGTAGGTGTGTGAGAGGCGTGTATGTTATCTTAGTTGCCTTGCTAAGTTAGAGTATTATTTCTGAAAGACCTCTGACTATTTCTATCTCAAAGTTAGTGTAAAGGGAATGAGCAGCATGCAAAAAGTAAATGTTACGAAACTATTTCACCCACAGCTTGCTTTATTTTGTGCTGTATAGAATCTCCTATTGGGGAAAAAATTGGATGAATAAATTGCACTGCATATGCCCGTTAGCTTCTTCTGAATATTAAATGTTTTGCAATACTAATCTAAGGTATTTCTGATTTTGTATGAAAAATATACTAAGTGGAATAAAAATTCATCCTAAATACTAGAATTTACTGATTTAGTTTCTTCTCTTTGCCTCAAGTATATTCATTTTTAATTTCTGAGCATGTGCAGATGGAAAATACCCATGTGCTGAAATTTAGTTGGAGTCATAAAGTACGGTTTAAATATGTTTGTAGCTTCATATCCAGGTGCAATTTTATCTCTTTTTCTGAATGCATACAAAATGTTTCTACAATTTTATAGGAGAAATTGGACTTAAGGATTGATACAAACTTTTACAAGTTTAAACAAAGGTCTAGAGTACATTTCAGATGCAATAATGCAGGTTAAATATTGATATTAGCCTTGACACAAAATACTTTACAGACTGTAAAATAAGATATCGTCTGAAAAAGTATATTAAATCAGTTAAATAATGGAACATACAGCATGTAATGAAGTATGGAGGAGAAACTATTGCAGTTAATAGTGTTAAAAGGTTTTTTTTCAACCTAGCAGCTGAAAAGATAAATTGAATCATTCTTCAGTACATCCTTGTATTTACAGAGCTCCACTGTTTTGGGAAACATGTAACTATTTAGCAAGAAGTAGTTACCAGTGCTCCAAATGATCGTTTAATGTAATGTTCTGTTATGGGAGATCATAGTGAAAGCAGAAGTAGCTATGGAGTAAATGGAATGTGCAACTGTGGGAGACAGTCATCGAATGTACAAGAGCATCAGCATGCCTGTTTGAAGTTGAAAAATTCTTTTTTCTTATAGTCATTAATGTTTGCATGCTGGCCAGTAGTCATGTTAGGTGATGCTTCTGAAATGTTTTCTGCTCATAAGAAAGAATAGCGGCAGCAATTGAAGATAAATTCAGAATCCAGTGATTACAGTGCAAAAGTCGAGTTAATCGGGGAAAATTGTCAGCAGTTTTAGCAGTGCTAAATAAATTTGAATTTTTTTTCTTGTTCTGAAATACCAGGCTAAAATGAAGTGACTCACAGAAATTATAGCTTCTGTACTCATGGAAATATTGTTGTTTCTTTTTCTTAGCAAAATATGTTGTGTGAATGATTTTTCTTTTGTGAAGCCTAAAAGGGTTCCATCATCTTTTCCCGCCAATGATTAATATATTCTGCTTAAAAGAAAATGCTATTTGCTATTGTTTTCATTCTTATGGCAGGATCCTTCTGCAGCAAAACACAGCAGTTTGAAAGCAATGTACATCCTAAAGAAAAACATGTACCTGATAATAATTAAAATAATCATCAACCTGCTATTAGCATTATGTTAAGCTACATTAAAAGTTTGTGTTACTGAGTTTTTATATAAGTTCTTGTAAAAAAAAGACGTGACTAACTGAAGAGGCAGAGCTTAACAGTAATTTGAGCTAATGTTCATGGTTCATACATCTGGAGGGAAGATATATATTATTTGGTAAAAAGGATAGGCATCATCTTTCCATTATTCTTGCTCATAAAAAAAGAAATTCTTGTGAAAGTAGAACATTTTTATGAAACAACTTTCATGTAGTATGAGCATAATGTGTTTTTTGTTCATGTATACATACAGTCTATAATTATAAGGCCATTTAGATTATCTTCCTGGAAAAACGTGGGTTGTATTTTATATAAAATATTAGTTCCAGTTTCTTTTGTAAGTATACTTTTCATGCCACTCAACAAACTGCAAAAGGAACACATGTGGAGCCTTAGTTTTTTTATTATTATTGTTATTTACTTCATTTAAGTAAATGTTATTTAAGTCCTTTATAGGTGGGACATAAGGACACATTATATAACACAATAAAACGTAAGGAAAGGAACCATGTGTTTTCCAAGTAGAAAGATGCATTTTAGTGACATATGTAATATGTTTATATCCATATGGCATACTTTTAATCCTGGTTATTTACCTTACTGTTCTTCCAATTCCTGTGTCATATGTCAATTTTGATACTTCCATGAGAAGCCTGTCTACTCTGGGCACAACTCTTGTGGTTTCAAGTAGATATGCTGAAAAAAACTTGGGCCATGAAGATGTGCATTTCTAGTTGTGCATTTAACTCTTAAGCTTTTTATGTAGAGGTTTTAGAAAAGAAAATGATCCTTTTCCTTTGCTACAGTTGTTTCTAAATCATGAAGATGTATTTTGACTTGAAAGTTTATTTTCCCCCCCCAAAATCTGTATGTATGCAGAGTGTATGCAAATCACTGCTACATAAGGTAAGTTGCACGGTGCAGAACTGAGGGAAAAAAGAAGCAACCTCCCCTCCCTTTAGGCATAGCTTCTTTGTGGGACTTACCTCCCCTTGGAACTACCCCATGCTCAGATACTGTGTCATGTGTAATTGGATTGAAGCTCTTTCTGAATACTGCTTTTTTCTCTTGACAGCATGGGGTAACCTTGGAAATGTTCTCAAGAGCCAGAGCAAGATTTCTGAAGCTGAAAGCGCCTACAGAAATGCCTTGTACTACCGCAGCAACATGGCTGATATGCTCTATAATTTGTAAGTATGTGTGGCTTTCCTGGGGTTGGACCTGTTGTGAATGTAGCTATTGATTTCCCTGCTGGCAATGGAGATGATTCTAGCTGCTACTTTGTACTGATCATTTCATTAATAGTGCTCCTTAAGCTTTGAGAACAGGATCTGTCCTTGGTCAATATTTCTATATGTTCTTTTATCATTATTCTGACTTTAGAACAGGCAAACTTACAAATCTGATTGCTTAAAAAGAAACAAAATTCCCACACTGAACAAAATGCAGATAGATGGGCTTGGCACCAGTACTGCTCCATATGTTTCTGACTTTGCTAAAATACAGAGGTGTTACTTAGACTTAAAAAGGAAGTCTAAATAACAGTGGGTGGGAGAAGTGGGTGTAAGCACTTCCTAGCATAAGTCCATATCTCTCAGTTAGCTCCTGAACTGTTAAAATAACTAAATACTTTCTGGAGCAGCGAAATGTATCCTCCTCCCAGCTCTCTCCTGCATTTGGGCACCCAGCAGCCTGGACCCTCAGAGTGGGGCTCTGCTGTGATGTGGACCCTTTCACGCAGGACGTGTCATGGAGAGCAGAGTTCAGATTAGGGCCATTCAGTATACAGTTGTGTAAGCTGTTTAGAAACAAAATGCCAAAAGTATGTGCTGTAGTACAAGTTGTACAAAAAAAATGAATGCAAATACTAAACTTCATTGTTAAAATAAATAACTGGACTTTTTTACCAAGGAATCAATTGCCCATTTCATTAGTTTGCCTTACAGGTAAACATATGGGAGACGTTTCTCTGCTTTTTCAGTAAAATTTAGTGGTACAATACCTATTCCAAAGTTGTTAGAGTATCTCAAAATTTGTATATTTTTATTAATCATACATTTAACACGTATGTGCGTGCACAACAATTTTTGCCTCTATTAGGCAATGTCTGTGAAAATCATATTTTTGAGAACAAACTCTTTTCACTTGTGTTTAAAGAAATAATTTTTGAATTCAGCAGGAGATTGTAGGGAAAAAAAAGTGAAAAGACCGATATTCTTGAGTTTCTTATACACAGTTGGTTTGGGGGATGAAAATTATAACTATTAATTTTTTTTTATATGCCTATACAGAAATACCAGAGTAATAAGAAGGAGGGTTGGGCCATAAAGACAGGGGATATAAAAGAAATCAAACTTCAGTAGTTTGCTGTTCTGAGCGCAAGCCATAATGTTCTGGCTTTACACTGATTTACAAAATGTATGCCTACAAGCCTTCATTTGTGATAAATAGAAAACCTCTTGAAATTCCACTGAGTTTGTAAAAGGAATTTATCTACAATTGCTGGAATATGCAGGGCATATAGCTTCTACATGTACCCCTGAAAATAAAGAAAGTGTTTGCTATATGATGTGTTTATACATTTGCATATGCAAAAAAGAATATCTAATTCTTAATCTAACAGTATCTTGAATGCAATAAAATCCTCTTTCTTTTTTTTCTTTTTTCCTAAGTTTCACAAAAGCATGAGCTACAGAAACTGAAAAATCTTTCATTATTTTCAATCTTTTTATTTATACAGTCTTGTTTTTTTTGTTTTTTTTTTTTTTCTGTTTGTTTGCTACTTTCAAATCCAGTATGGAAACTAAGTGGTAAATGGAATAGGCTTTGGTGCAGCAAGACACCAATCTACTCCAATATTTTAAGGGCAAACTCTGAAGAGCTTCCTTGCAAATTCAGCCCTTTCTTGGCATGCAGTTATATGGGAGCCTTTACAAAAATACTGTAATTGAAAAATACATCTTGTGTGTGATTACAGGAGGACAGTTAGATTTACTGTTTCTGGGTTTTAGTATGTGGCTTTAAAATTAAAGCAGTAATTTAGTAGATTTTTAGAAAGAAAGCACCCTTACAGTGGTTTCTGATTTGTGTGGTTTTGGCATAATGGATCCTAAGTCTATTTAAGCTTCACATATTCTTTGTTTTTTTTCTTTGCATTTATGCCCCAGTATTTGATACAAGATAATAAGCACTTGCTGCAGTATTCGTACACAGCAGTAGCAAATCAAAGTGCTTTCTGATCAAGGAAGAAATTATTAAGGATTAACTCACAATTTTCAATGGGTAATGATCAAAGACAAACTACATAAACAGAAGCATTTGATGATCTCTGTTCTGTTTTTTCAAGACACCATTTTGTGCTAAAATGTGCTGTTGGCTTAGCAATTGTCTATTGATTGTTAAAGCCTAGTGAGTTTAGCAACATGAAGAAATGGCTGATTTCAATAATACATTTTTATTTTCTGACTGTTATACCTTTGCAGCATTACAGCAGCACTGAGTTGCAGCTTCTTTTGCCATTCAGGACAATTTAAGCTGCATGAATTTAGATTACGCAATTACATAATCTCCCTTTGAATGCTTGCCTGATTCAGAATGTGTCATTTGCCACTTTGTTCAAATGTGGCAATTATGTAACCATAAATAAATTCCTGCATTTTTAGAGAGCAGCAGACATATAGTAAAGACCATATAATAAGATGCTTAGTATGGAGAAGGAGAATAAAAATAGCACAAGGCATCAGCCACATACATTGTAGAGAAGCGCTGGATTTGGAAGATGAACAGATTTTGACAAACTGTAATTCCCTAGAAAAATCTGTTTTCTCATGGCTTTCCCTCTCTCCCACAAACACTCAGGAAACTAAGTTCCAAGTTGATCTGCATTTTTAACTAAGAAATTGTTTTTAATTTTGTTTTAATAATAGTGAAAAAAAGAAAAGGTCTTGCTAACAGTAATACTAAGTTGGTGGTTCATCGCTCATTTAGATGTGAGTTAAAGTAGGTTCGTTGTGCTGACATTTCTCAAGTCCGAATATGTAAAAGTGGAACTACCTGGTAAACAGCCTATCTTGAGGATAAGATCTTTGGCCTGGAATTTTAGCAATCTGCGTTCAGGCTACGGCCTTGACTTTTTGTTTGGAAGCTTTTTTTTTCTAAAAGCCTCATGAAAATCTCAAGAGGATCTTGGAGCTTGACATCTCTGAGAGCAGTTGAGATTTTCACAGTAATTTCAGTGCTGAAAGGATTTTGGCTCTGATTTTCTACTGTAGGTAGAGATTGTATTAAAATGTGACTGTAATAAGGTAGTTTACACTTCAAGATACCTACCACGTGGCCTCCTGCTTGAGATAGCACTGCAAGTAATTCGACCAAATCTCAAAACCAAGTTCTAAAAACCTGTGTAGTATTACTGATTTCAGCTAGATTTCAGAAGGTGATAGATGAACATAAACGAAATCTCTTTCCATGTGTTTAAGAAATCCATGTATTTTATTACTGTGAAGTACCAAGGACAGAGCTATAGAAAAATATTTGCTTCTCCAAAGTAGGCAATGATCAGCAGATGAACAATAAACTAGTTTTTTGGGGTTTTTGTTTGTTTGTTTTTTATGGCTTGTTAACTTTTTTATGATTGTTCCCTAAAACTCAGGGTTTCTTTTGCTTTTAAATTTCTTTTGTTTAAAATTACTTCCAATTGCTGCCTAAAGTAAAATTGTTTATCAGTTAAAAGACAGTTTATTGTATATTATTTCATTTATATTTAGGCCAAGCTCTGCTTAGAGTATGCTTTTGTCATTATAGCAGTTATCTATGCTACCTTGAGTTTCTCAGCAAGTTAAAGTAGATAGATCTGCAATCTCACATAAATGTTTAATATGCCTTTGGAATGGTACTAGTTCATGTAAATGATGCATTTGGGGAGTGTACAATGCCCAATAAAGAATAAATTGACTAATCATCCTCAGTACCTTTATTTTCATTGCACTGATAGTGCTTTGAGTCTACAAGTTTATTGTTCAGATAATTTATTTGAATATATTCAAAGTAATTTTCGTAGCTTTCTTTGGTAACTACAGGGTACTATGTGAATAAATGTGGATTTGTTTATTTATTTTTGTTTAGACTTTTGTTAGCTAAAGTCTTCAGTGTAACTGACATTTTAATTCTGTGAAGTCTGAGGTTATATAAGTGTTTCATGCACAGTCTTTAGATTTGCATCCTTTGGTGAAATCTCTGGAAATCAATTTGAATTAAATTCTTTTTTCTTGTTCTTAGCCTATAAAACAGTTGAAATTGTGTTTTAGCTTCTTCCTTTTTAATGGTGCTGGCACAAAAATCTCCTTTGAGCTGTAAAAGTTGAAAATCCCCAAAAGAAAGCTAACTTCCTAACCTGTGCTGACCTGGAATTGAACCTTCACAGACAGAGTTGCTGCACTACTTCTTCACATAGTAGGACACAAGTCAAGGTTATGGTTCCTCTTCCTTGATAGCACATAAGCTTTTTACAATGCAGGATGTTGAGTTAAAAGCAAAGAGGAAGTATTGCTGACTGTTTTACTACTTGACCATTGCATTCTCTGCTCAGAAAAAAAGAGCCTTGCTACAAGCCTGTTTGGAATTAATCTGTGCTTTGCCAGTACTCGTCATCTATCAAGGGCAGCAGCTCAAATTTGTGTCTTTCTGTAACTGAAGCTCTCTGCATAAAGTCTTGCTGTGTTGTGTGACTGGTTTTTGAGGTAGCATTCAAAGGACACTTCAATGACCAGTGGCATCACACAGTGCAAATCTCTGCTGTGGGCCTTTTTTTTTTGAGAACCTGTAATGAAAAATGAAGTGCTGATATTTTCCTAATCAGAATAGAGAGCTGAAATGCATTTGGTGACATCCAACTGAATATTTCATTCTTTGAAATGGTCTGTGCATGAACTTTGTCCGTTTTGTGGACAGCAGTTCAGCTTCATTAGTACCTTCCAGTACATAACGGGTACCTAGAGGGAAGTTGGAGAGCGATTTTTGATCAGGAAGTGCAGTGAAAGGTCAAGGAGTAATGGCCTTAAATTAAAAGGAGGTAGATTTAGATTAGATATTCAGATGAAATTATTCACTGTGAGGGTGGTGACAGAGGAACAGGTTGCCCATAGAAGCTGTAGATGTACCATTCTGGGAAGTTTTTAAGGCCAGTTCTAGT